TCCTAATTTTTTCCACTTCCTTCGTCGGAAAGGTCGTCTGGTTCTTTATTTCTGGAATCTCAGTTATAGCCAGACCAAGGGATGTAAAAGCGTTCATCACTCTGTCTACAGAAGTTTGGAAGTCGGCATCTGTCAACTTAGCCTCAGTGATATGAGCGATCTCGTTTCGCACCTGACGAATATCATCGACCTCTTTACGGACAGCTGGGCTTAAGGTTTTACCAATGCTGTCTGAGTACAGAATGGCAAAAAACAAACAGGTACAGTCCCACTCTGCCGTGTCACCATTGTGGATTACTGCCAGACATCGGGCGTTTTTCTTGCGACTTGCTTTAGATTCTTTGTTGTAGAAATCATGACCATTTTGTGCCGTGTCTTTCCATTCTCTAGTTAACCGTCCTTTATAAAGGAAATCCCACTCGTTTTTGAAAATCTGCCGCAGTCCCTCTGGAACCAAATCAAATGCTATGTAGCAGAGTCTGAAGTAGTTTAGTTGCTCCTGCGAGTATTCCATCACCAATTTATAATCCTAGTAAGAGATATTGCCTATTAGCTTATTTTCTCGTCAGGCCAAAACAAAGATTATTTACTTATCATTTTGAAAATGGGAAGAATCATCGCTGATTGTGTAACACAGTTATTCCATAAAATGATTATGAAAAGTAAGTAACTAATGATAAACTAAGTTTAATACGGGAAGCTAGGTAAGTAGCTATAGTTTTGTGCTGATAGATAAACGACTGCGTCTAGGCTTCAAACACAACTTGCTTTCCAGGGACGTGGCTCAATCAGCAATGTGTTTCTACCACAGTACCAATGATCTAATAGACGCCAGCGGCTTTTATTCAACAATTAATGAATGAGGGTGAGTATCTTATGAAGAATTATGGAGATCGAGGAGGGTGTTATCGGCCGAGGCGGACAACACACTCCGAGATCTCCATAATTCTTCATATGATGCGAAAGCCGAATTCAATAATTGTTTTATTATTCATTCAAAATTATTCCTAGTTTAAAGACATGGGTAAAACATGCTTTCCTCCATCGATCCATCGATGTTAAGTTCATCTTCGACAGTGCACGTTTAGGTTTGTCCAGCTCCGCAAATATTCTCCAAATAGCAGATGTCGTCTTTCGAGTTGTCTTCTTGCTGTTCTTGCCATGTTTTTAGTTTTTTTTTTCGCAAAGTTCTTACTCTTCAAACGAGTGAAATGTCCGCCATTTTTCAAGTTCACAATCAAAACAACTCAACCTCGTCCTTAGGTCTTCTCGGTTAACGGTGCCTTAACCCGCTAAAACGCTTTATTTTTTACGTCATTTCCTCGTTAAACACAAAATTCTTCCAAATTTGGTCATCAGTAACTGGTTATGGTGAATTAAACGTGTGCTTTTAGCCAATCAGAATCGGGAAAATATTTTGAATGAATAATAACTAATTTTAAGGGTCAAGAGGTGGGGGGAGGTGAAGGGGGAGGGGGTGCGGGTGGAGGGAGCGGAGTAGGTGTAAATGGTGGCGCTTATTCTGATAACTGTAAAAACCTCAACACAACTAAAATGCTTCAAGAACTAATTATTTTGCTATCAAGGTAGAACAGGCCCGACGAAAGTTGCTGATGTATTGAGCACATCAATAATATAAAAGAGCACTTTCCTTACTTTGAACTTGGCGTTGAACAAGATGCAATGTACAAACCATTGTTAATCAAGCAATAAACCAAATACCGGTGAATTGAATGATTTTGTTCTATTTCGCTATTCCCGAGTATTGTGGAGTATTGGTCATGAGAAGGCACTAATTTGTTAGACAGGGTGCGTTTGATAGTGAGGGGCGTCTATTACAAACAGTGTGTGGAAAGTCGTTTAATTTTAGACAAGAGCCGGGCTTTCATTTGTTTTTGAAAAGGGGCTTCTATTGGATCATATATTTCATTCGATGTCAGTCTCTTCTTTGTCAAAAACATTAATGACGATTTACTTTGTCTTGATCAGTGCACAAATTTTAAGAGTTTCAGGCCTTTTCGAACAGTGCTTCGTATGGATGACAAGTTGAGGGTAACAAATATCCTAGAAGAATATAAAAGTAGAGTAGAAAAAGGATAAGGAGCAGGAAGGAAGTGCGCTCTTTTCGATATGCAAGTTCTGTCGACTCCAGAGCTCTTTTTTGTGCGCGGCTGAAAAAAAAGGCTGTCAAGTCGAGATTGGTGGGGAGGGGGGTACAGGTAGCACCACCGTCCCATAGACAGGTTTACAGCGCGGGGGGAGATGACGATCACATAGCAAAAGAGAACAAAGCGGGTCATAAAAAGCTCTCTGCATTGATTTTCATTGATTTTCTCGCAACTGAGATTGGTCTTAAAAACGGTACACGAAAATTTCTCTTAAACCTTTAACCCTTTCACTCCTAGACTGAGTTATGGTGAAATTACCCGTCATTTTCATTTTCAGCCTTCAGGTAAATGAAATGGTAGGGATTTCACTTGTTGAAGTATATGAATGGCTTGGGAAATATGTCACTGCCGTCGGTAAAGAGGCTCAAAAGGCCCAACAGGTGCATTTTAAGGCAGTGAAAAAGTTGAGAAAATGTTCTGGTTTTGTGATTTATTTATATTTTAAAGACAATGCATTTACAGTTGTTGAAAGAGATGCTAAGTTCTAAACTTGGTATGTGAAGGAGGTATCATTTATCAATGGAAGGTATACGAAAGGGGGAATTTTTCTGTCATAAACGGTATATAAAAGGGTAAGGGGTCGAGCCTCGGGGTAGAGCCTCCCCTTATAACACTTTTTTAGCACCCCCCGGGACATTGTGAACTAATAATAATAATGATAATAATAATAATAATAATAATAATAATAGTAATAATAATAGTAATAATAATAATAATAATAATAATAATAATAATAATAACATGTTTAAACAGGATGACCATTTCAGTTATAAAAACTACTATCAATATGGGTCCTGTGTAAAAGCCAAAAGCCCAAACCCCAAAGAAGCCCAAAGGACGCCCGTCTGCGTGGCAAGCTAACGTAGTTTTGGTCGTCGCCTTGCTAGCCTGCGTAGCAGGCGTCGAAATGGGGATGGGGAGGAACGGAAAAAGGGAGGGGGATTGGGGAGAGAGGGGAAGGGACGCCTACTATAAGAACCCCCTTTTGTTCATTTCTGCGGATGCTGGCGTCCGCAAATTCCTGATTGGCTGAGCCGTGATGAGTAACTTATTGGCGTGTATCCAGGCGTGCATTAGTGTGAGAGACAAACATGATGAAGGCATTAAGGAAATGGGTTCTACTGGTTTAAGCTTTGGAAGATCAAAATTACTCCAGTCATGTAGCAACTTCACGTTAATAGCTTGTTTAGGAGGTAGAGATACTCAGGAGGTTTCGTATACTGGATTTGTCCAAACACCGAGCGGTGATTGAAAGCGATTGCAATTTTTGCCAGATGATCATTGTTTGTCGTAAACTGCAAACAGTAAAAAAAAGAGAGAGACTGACCGTAGTCTATGCTTGTCGTGTTTGCTGCGGAAGCAAGAACATTAAAATGTCTTATTTCGACTAGCCTGCGTAGCAAGCGTTTCCTCGCGAGTTCGTCTAGAAAGTTGGGACGAGAGCAAAAAAAAGAAAGGACGGGGGAGGGGGAGGGGAATGAAACCTTTTTTTTTTTTTGCTCCCGCTCTAACTTTCGCGCAGTAACTCGATTGGAAACGCTTGCTACGCAAGCTATATTTCGACCGATTATGATATCACTTGAAAAAGGCGTCTCAACTTGCCCCCTACTTGTGATTGGTCACGTATTGACAGTTGACATTATCGGATCTGCAGTTCAGAAAATGATGGGCGGAAGACAAAAACACCGGCTCTTATAGCAGGCGCTCCCTTCCCTTTTCCCCTAGTCTGTGAACAGGCTCTCTGTTTGGCGAAAAAAAATAGCAAGGAAAGGGAAGGGGAAACGCGTGATCAAAACGCGTGCTACGTGCCGACCGAAAAGCCGATGTCAATCAGACCTGTCAACAGTCAGTGTTCTCGCCAATAAGAACTTGCATCAGGATCTGATGCACAGCTAGCCTGAGTATCAGGCGTTTCTGGGGAAAAGGGGAAAGATGGAAGCGAAAAAAGGAGAGAGCTCTTCTCCCCCTCCCTCCTCCCCCATCTCAAATCTCCTCTCCCCTAGCCCCTTAGGAAGGCCTGATACTCAGGCTAATGCATAGCGGGTGCCGTGGAACGGCGGTCCCAAAGGTTTGTCTACAGGCCTTTTCGCTTTTTCCTCTCCCTAGTTCCCCGCTCGACCAAAGGCCTGTTCACAGGATACTTTTCCCCGCTTTCGCACTTTTCTCCCTCTTCCCTCCCCTTTTTGCGCCTGCCACGAAACAACATAATATAATAACTTTTATTTATTACCTTTGGCGATAAGAATTACGGTAATATTACAATAAAAATTCAAAACACTACATATTATATATACATATCAAATTAAGTTAAGTTTAGCACCTCTAGGAATAAACGATTGTTTGTGCCTAACAGTGCGTGATACAGGTATTCTGAGGTGCGCTAGGTTAGTCTTACAAGATCTTAGATTATGGCCATGATCCACTGGCTTTTCTAAAAAACGTTTGCAATGATATACTTCTTATTCTAGGATACGTTTAAATTCTTTCCTCGTCAAATTCTGACGCCTGGTTACAAGTGACTCAACAGTATCCCTAGGGAGACCAATGACATTTAGACATCTATTCTGCACTCTCTGTAGATCTTCTTCGAGGTAAATGGGCAGCCCTCCCCAGACAGGCGAGGCATATTCTAAAACAGGTCTAATCTTAGTGATGTAAGTTGTAAGACCAATGTCCCTGGGGAGATGGGCTGTTATACAGACCCTAAGATAGTGGATCCGTTTACACGCTTTGCTGACAATACTTGAGACATGTGTATTCCACTTGAGATCGTTCTGTACATATACACCCAG